CCCCTTAAGGACACATGGCATGTGTGACATGTCGTGATTCCCTTTTATTCCAGAAGTTTGGTCCTTTAGGGGTTAAATACCAAACGTACGTGCAAGTCATTGATTTTAAAGTGTTGAAAAAGCAGATCCTATAAGAGAATCCTAAACCTGCGCAGTAGTGATGGTTTCTGCTTTCAAATGAACACATTGACATTGTAGGTTCCAATTTCTGTTACCGCGTCTTTGATCTAAGAGATATATGTAAAGATGTAAAGCGTGATGTACATGCCGCAGGGTCTGTGCCAGGTTAAAACTGTCAGCAATGTGACAGTGTGTGATTTGATAAGGTGCAGAAATGGTTGCCCCCTGACCTTGTCATTCGTACCATGTGGGGGGGATCTAGGTTAATCCCTTTTTAGCATTTGGTAACACACTGCTTTATCCTGATCTGGATCCTATCCAGTAAATAGTTACAGGGCCAGTCTACCCTAAATACCAAGGAAATCCCCAGCTGGCAGGCGGTACAGTTCTTTTACTAAATGGCTTCTGACACAAAGTGTGCAGCTCATTCATGGAAAGGGGTATATGGACAACAAGTCCTCGTAAAGAGCTACTGCAGTTAAGGAATTCAAAACGTCTCGGGATATAAATCTTACAGAATATTCAATGAAAAGGAATGCCAGTGATCTAGAACATCTAGTGTTTGGAACAGTGGCTGATACATGACTTTCTGAATAGTTGTCTCCACTGTGGAGCTTCTCAAAGAATTTGAGAGGAATGTTTGACTCAGACAGGTGTGTTAGACCTCCAGCTTTATAGAACTAAATCTCCTGTGGTGGTGTTTTCTCAGCTTTTATGCTGTCTACCTTTTGACTACCGCTGGCCTAAAGCCTCCTTATGGTTCCACTCTGGTGATTCCTGGGATATTTAATTTATTACTGGAAACTGTGGGTTCAGGATTTGATCCATCTAGTTAATGTTGCTCGTGTTGCATTAATGACAGACTTCATTTTGTTTTTGGGGCAGAGGCCTGTGGGAGTTCGATGTTCTGAGCTATTCTGTTCTTTCAGGTTGGTGCGATTGCTGCCAATGCAGCCGACGATGGTCAGTGGTCTCAAGGACTCATTTCAGCCGTAAGTAATGTTAATTATCTTCACATGTTTGCTGTCTCCTCCATATGCATCCACTAATATACTCTGTAACCCGTATATTATACACGCATGTATTGTATAGCATTTACTAAACCGTAATATAATATTTGCAACTTCCTTTAACCGATCCCTACTGACTCTCTACTTGGCTCCTGAGATCTGCTTATGACTGTCTTCTTCCCACCCCTATTGCATCGTCACCTAAGACTATTCCCCTTCACTGCCCCTGCCTTGGATAACTGTCGCTCTACATACACCAATCACGTATCAAATCCCTGCACAATCCTATAAATCCACCTCTTGAGTTCTGCATCTCTAAAGCCTGGAATGAGTACTACCACCTGATGGAGCTTCCACCTGTCAAGGTCAGATACTGCTGTCCATTGTGCTTACAATCAAGGTCAGCCAATGACTCCCATTTTTAATCGCTTCCATCAACTCATATATTGTGTTTATTCAATACCATTCACTACAATCTTCTCAACTCTCGCCATTATTGTTAGGCACAGTTACTCACCAATCCTACCAACCATCGAGATCAAGTGCAGCACCAACATTATTGTGCTTGATCAAAGCCACACACAGAAATTCACTAGACATCTCCACTCCTGTTTTTGGCACTCACTTAATGTCCCATTTAGATTGTAAGCTTTGTAACATTTCCCGTTGGTACTCATAACCTCTCAAACGTGATTGGTAATTAGGATTAACCAACTAGCACGTAAACCAAGACTGCAAATTTAGAATGTTTAAACTAATGGGCTATCGTTGATAATATGTCCTGTTGAGTGGATCGCAAATGAAGTTTGCTCACCTTATGAGTCAGCGTCTCTCTCTTCCCTGGTCATTTTAAAAACAAATGGCCGCTGTGACTTTTTCTAGGCCAGGATGGTGGCTGCAGCAACCAGCAACCTGTGTGAATCGGCCAACGCCTCAGTGCAGGGCCACGCCAGTGAGGAGAAACTGATCTCCTCTGCCAAGCAAGTAGCAGCCTCCACTGCCCAGCTCCTGGTGGCCTGCAAGGTGAAAGCTGATCAAGATTCTGAAGCCATGAGGAGACTCCAGGTAGCATGTTCAAGACTACAAGGGGGTTAGAAGTGTAACACAACCTTCTGCTGCCAGAGATTCTAAGTACACATTTAATGGTTTAGTGCCACCACGGCTGTAGTTGAGGAAATTGTTACTTTATAAGGTGACAAAGCTCACAATAGAATTGGGATAATGTCGGCATTCTACCATAACTTTTATTTTTTGTTATTAATTTAAAATTCATTTCAAGGTTATTTTTTTTTATTTTACTCCAAGTCATAACAACATTCATATCATGCTTTTCTCCATTCTCCCTCTCATGCTACTTTCCTCTTCTCCCATCACATCCCTCTCTTGTCCACCTCTTTTACTTTCCCCTTCCTCTCCTCTTTCCATGCTTCTCCTGCCCCATACAGGCTGCTGGAAATGCTGTGAAACGTGCGTCCGATAATCTAGTGAGAGCAGCACAGAAGGCAGCCTTCAGCAAAGCGGAGGACGATGACGTGGTGGTCAAGACAAAGTTTGTAGGAGGAATTGCACAGGTCGGTATAAGATGACCATAGTGACCTATGCATTCTCCAATTCTTGCTGCTCTTTTAAACTCTGTTAGAATATTTTCCATTGTTTATTGTGTAAGCAAGTTAAGTTTTTGGTGAATTCATTAGTTTAATAGTTTTCTTCCATGGTCGATCTATGTTCACAAGTTTCCTGCATGAAGAACTTCCAATGTGCCAAGTCTGCTAGACTGTTGTGTAAAATTCAACACTCCCATGCTCACCCATTGTAGAGCATAAAACATACTGATTATCAGTGTCAGGAGTATTAGTGGATGGACCTCAGGTGGTCAACCATCTGCTGTTGGACCTTATCTTGTTTTATCTATTGCTCAACAGTCCAACAAAACCTAGAAATTTGAGAAGCTCATGGAGTAATTATTCTAGATTCAGTGAAGTAATACCCACTCACAATGTTCTTAATTATTAATGTAACTTAGATTTACCATCATAAGGATATTTATTTTCCCACCGGACTGTAGCAGCGCTCTCCTTGTCTTCCACAGATCATCGCTGCTCAGGAGGAAATGCTAAAGAAGGAGAGAGAGCTGGAAGAAGCACGTAAAAAACTAGCACTGATTCGCCAACAACAATACAAATTCCTGCCATCAGCCCTTAGAGAGGAGGAGAGTTAGGGATCAGGCCTACTGTAAGGACTTTCTACTGCCGTTCCTGGAGATGATGCCTGTCTGGCAAACGCTGAGGAAGAAGACAAAAATAGCTGGAAGCTTTGCCATCTGGATGCCCACAGGGTGTGGGAAAGTTGGTGGTGCACAGCTTTTACACTTCGAGACTTACAGTATTATTTCCCAAGGTGGATGTACACAAGTATATAAGTAAAAGAATATATAAATATATATAATAAAGACACACCACTCCACCAGATCCATTTGAAACTCAGACAGGAAGGGTCCCTCCTGTGTAAAGAATCGTGGTTTTAAAGAACATCAACCCTTCATGTAACCTCTTTACTGGCAGAGGTTCCTGCGATACACTTCAGAACAGAAAAGGGGGTTAAACTACCTGGTTGGTTTTTTTTTTTTGGTTTTTTTTCTCTTCTAGTAAATTTTACAGTATGAATTGGTCACTGGAACAGTTCTTTATCCTAAAATGATGTACACAAAGCCTCTTGGGAATAAAAGACACTTGTAATGAACGCTGGATGTGCGGTGCTGGTTATTGATTCTGGAGTAGGGGAAGAAAATACTCCGTCCTTCTCGAATAGTTTACGGTGATTGGTTAATGAGCTGTCAATAATTACCAAGTGGTATTATTTTCTTCTCCCTGAATCTTCAAATTTTATTTGACCACACATTGCTGTAGATGACCACATACTGACACTCTAACATGCTACAACACTAAAAAGGGCGTTTGGTTGTGGACTTCCTTCCCTATATCAGATTTAGCTTTAAGCCTTATTTAAAGGACCACTCTAGGCACCCAGACCACTTCAGCTTAATGAAGTGGTCTGGGTGCCAGGTCCTTCTAGGGTTAACCCATTTTTTTATAAACATAGCAGTTTCAGAGAAACTGCTATGTTTATCAATGGGTTAAGCCTTCCTCCAAATCCTCTAGTGGTTGTCTCATTGACAGCCGCTAGAGGCGCTTGCGTGCTTCTCACTGTGAAAATCACAGTGAGAGCACGCAAGCGTCCATAGGAAAGCATTATGAATGCTTTCCTATGCGCGCGCGCATTCAGCCGACGGGGCGGATCGGAGGAGGAGAGGCGGCAGAGAGCTGCCCGCCCAGCGCTGGAAAAAGGTAAGTTTTTACCCCTTTCCCCCTTCCAGAGCCGGGCGGGAGGGGGACCCTGAGGGTGGGGGCACCCTCAGGGCACTATAGTGCCAGGAAAACGAGTATGTTTTCCTGGCACTATAGTGGTCCTTTAACCCACTAACTCATTTATACTGTTGGGTTCGGTCATGTGTTCTACCATTCTGTTCCAAGGTATCAGTTGTTTTATAAATTGGTGTTTGCTAGAGCTGTGGATATTTTTTGGGGGACAGGTGTGTTTACGATGAAAACATCCGGGGAATGTCCTGCAAATGTAGAAGTCCAAAGGGTTAAAACAACTCCACAACTAAGTTTTGAAGGATTTGTGTGAATTTTTTTTTTCTCATCTGTTTGTTGATGACGTATGCATTCATCATAAACTCACTGATAATTATTTTTTATATAGAGATATTTAGTAGTTTTGGGTGGGGGGGGGGTTTGCAGATTTAAAGTATTCTGCTAGAGGTGATGTCTGAAGGTAAAATGTACAGCTAAAATAATTTGTGTGCATGTGAAAACGAGTAGCTATGGTTTAATCCACCAGCAGTGAGAAATGCGTACTCCCATCCTGGGTCAGACTATCATTTTGGTAAAAATCTTTCTACATACAGTTAATTAAAATCAACCTCTATATAAAAAGTTTTTCATTGCAGTACCAGAGTTGGCCACTATATGGCAGTGTCTTACTGAGTAAAGACTGATGTGTGCAAAGCGGATAACGTTTAAATACTCCACATCCCTGATTGTATAAACAATTTTATAAAACGAAGACTGCAACGTCGTCTTCTTCTTCTTCTAGGAAGATTGAAGCGTATTATAATAGGGAAATTTCAGAATAAGATTTAGTGATGCCCATGTGATGGTTTAAGAGTAGTTATTCTCTGGACTTTGCTGGCAAAGGATAAGATAGTATGAGTATTCATTGACGTGTTTTTAACAGTTTGCAATGTAGTGTCCACCATTAACTACCACTAAAAGTCCACATTACTTGATGCATGGCTTCCTTTCAAAGCTTTGTTGGCGCTGCTTTCACTGAAAGAGGTTTTTAGGAAGAAATTGAAAATCTCATGTTTAGGCATTCCTAGGTCAATGACTTTTGGAACCATGTCTTATATTCAAATGAAACAACATTTGAGCTATGCAATCTGTTTGGTAGAAAACTAAACCATTCGTAAAATAGAATAGTTGTGAGCAGTGGTGGCTGGTGAATTTTTCCGATGGTGGATCCATACCCCTGTATTTTGACCCTGCCCCTCTCTGTAAACTTTGCCCCTGATCTGTTGGAGAATGCCCACTTTAAGGGAAACTATAGGGACCTAACAGCTTAATGAAGCCGTTTTGGTGTGTTGACCATGCCCCTGCAGTCTCACTGTTTAATTATTTGCCATCTGGAGTTAAATCACTGTTTCTGTTTATGCAGCCTTTGTCACTCCTTCCGTGACTGACATAGCTTTAATGGAAGAAATAGTTTCAGATCTTACTTTAGAAGTTTTTATTTCTTGCTCTTTTACTTAAATTTTTACACGCAGGAGGCTCTAGTAGGCTATTAACAGGCTGTGTAAGTCACATGCAGGGAGGAGTGACTAAGGCTGCATAAACAAAGTGATTTACCGCCTAAATGGCAGACAACTGAGCAATGACACCGAAACTGCTTCATTAAAATAGTTGTTTTGTATTTTTATGCCTTACATGTAACACCCCAGTTCAAGCACATTATATTTCTTAAAACAGTAGGCTAGTTGAATGGTTGGCAGAGTCTAATGCAAGAACGGCAGTGCTAAAGTAAAGACGTTACTACTACACAGTTTAGTTCAATTTCTATATGCAGAGTATCAGACAGTCCTGTCTCGCTGGGGAACAGAGCTTCCAGTTCCTGCCTTGGTGAAACTGTAGCAGAGAGCTGTCGGCATGGGAGTGTCGGAATACCTTGTATCCAGGCTGATAGGGCCGGCCTTCCTGAAAATCTAAAACATATCTATGACCTCTCTCAGTGCTCTTCCACTCCCCCGGCAGCTATGGATCCGAACACTTTAATGACACAACGTCAAAATCTGTATTCCGCACTATGTATACCTCCTTACAATTCCTATATTTGCTGGAAATTCACAGGGCTTCTATAGAAAGTGGTTGGAATACGGTCAGCCAATCCTGGTGCTCTCCAAGACATTATTACACCTGGCGAATTATTTACTAAGGTGTGAATTGTTAAAAAATTAGATTTTTTTGCCAAAACATCAGAGTTGGAGAAGAAAACCCATGTTGGCGATGTTTTGCCTAAAATTTGGGATCACTCTGAGTTCCTGGTAAAATATACGTTGGGAAATAAACCAGTCATGTCCTTAATCTGATATCACTGCACGTCAAGCGTTGAACCACAAATTAAGGCCCAGATTGTCCTATTGAAAGCTTTTTGGTTATAAATGAATACTTGATGTTTATTTTTGTTTATCAAACATAAATTTTGTTGGTTTTTTTTTTTTTTAAACTTTCTGTGCATATCAGTCTCGTGCTATAATAAGATCCACGGCTACTACACTTCTAATGGAACCAGAAGGTGGTATGGCTGTTTTGTCTGGTGTTTGCAGTTTTTCGTTCCTCCCCACCCCTCCCCCAAACTGGATCAACTTTAATAAAATGTAATGTTCTAAGGATTCTCTGTTTTTTGTCTGGGTATATACAAGGTCAGATTATCTATACAACTACTCAACATTTAATACACATAAATATTTATGGTGTCTTTGGTAGGACTGATGTTTGGACTCTGGAAGAAAATAGTCAAATAGTGTAATTTTGGCTGGACAAAAAGAAAGTTAGAATTCATTATCATATTTGGGTGCCCGAATGGCCCTTTTAACATGCAGATGTGGCATATGTGAGTCAGAGCCACCAACCGATGGGGAGCCACTACATGTGTATAGAACTTAAAGGGACACACTTCAAGCCACGTTCATTGGCTGAAAACTCCTTGGGAATGTGTGACCCTCCCTACAACAGTAGCTTTTTGCTGGAGCTTCTAGCATCATGGTAGGGGCAACAAGTGCTCCATGTAAGTTGTCAATCTGTTATGATTTTGGTACTTGGAGTATTCCTTTTAAGGGCACTGTAGAGATATTTTGATTAAAGGTAAATCATGTTGGCATGCACAGTGTGTCGATGGAATGAGTGCTAAATAAATTGTATGTTAGAAAATTAAGTGTTTTTCAGAAAATTATTAGAAGCTGCAGCTGATATTAGTTTGCGGAGCAGTTTCATTCATGGATATCCATGACTGTAACTACTTTTATAATCAATAATACATTGCCAGATAAACCCCCTAAACTGATATATATTTTTTTCAATGAAAGTATTTGGACAGATATTTCTGTACAAGGGCATAAGTACTGCAAGTCCCAGAAACGCTTGCAGTGCATTGATGGGATATGCCGAGTAGTGATCTAGAGATATATAATTACTGGCTGACCCACACTTCAATGGCTCAATGCAGACACTGCCAAAAAATGGGATTTACAACACGTAAATGTTAAAATGGAAGCTATTATTTATTTACTTTAAATTTAATATACCTTTCGTCTTTTTGTATATAGTGGTAGAACATTAAGACTGAAATTCCAGCCATCGCTTTTACAGTCTATGCTGTGTCTGGAATAAGGATTTGTAAGTCAGGAAGTCCCTACTGTAGATGCACATGGTTGGAGGGCCTTTGGACATTTTTTTTTGTTTGTTTGTTTTTCTGCAAGTTTTTTCTTATATTGTATGTGTTTGTGATTCAGGCTGTTTGGCATGTTTGCTGTGTTTCTTGCACTGTAATTTTCCACTTTCTCATTAACACTTTAATGTCAGTAATGCAAACCTGTATGTCTAACATTAAACTGTTCTGTTTCCAGGTAACTAAAAATAAGGAATATTTACTCAGATTAATGCATCTTTATAGGAAAGGTTCAGCGTCTTCAAACAGCGCTTCCTGTGGCTGTCTGAGTGATGGCCACTAGAGTTGTCCTTAAGGACAAATGTAAGCACTGTCCTTTCTCAGAAAATATAGCATTTACAATTGTCAGATTGCGGGAACAGAACCTTGACACCAGAACCACTACATTAAGCAGTATGAAGATATTCTATTGTCTGTTTTTATAAAACAACTCAAAAAGAGGTGATCAGGCAACGGCATTAACTTAATAAATGATGTAGGACTATTAAGTAGTAGTACTAAGCCGGGTGATGAAGATAGGCTTTAAGCATATAATAAAAAGCACAATGTATGGTGAATATATAATGAAGGCTCTTTAACCCCAGAGATGGGTGCTAAATCACAATTAAAAACTAAGAATGTTTACAATAGTCAGAGAGAGATCTTCAAACACTTGTTGTAGAGCAAGTATAAAATCCTGGGCATCACGTAACATTATTCTTTTTTAAACTACATGAAAAAGCGTAAAGAAAACAAAATGAAAGGTTCCTGAACAGACTGGGAGTTTAGTCGCGATAGAGAGAGACTTGAATTTTCTCATCCTGTAGCATATCAACTCGTTGAAATGAAGACTGCTATGTTGTCAATGTCCCAGGTATGAGAAGATCTGATCTCCTTGCACAGAGGCACATCACAACCTGTACATATTGCACTAGGGATCTCTATTTGCGCTTTATTCCTGAGCTCTTCAAGAGGAATTAAGAGGAGAGGTGTGACCATAATACACCAACGGGAGTGTGATCCCAGCCAGTCCCATTATGGCTCTATTTTTTTATACAAGCACTATAAATTGTGGTTACATACTAAAACATTAGATTTTGTTCTTCTTTTTACCCCCCCTGTTTGTTGATGCTACATATTAATATTCAAACTAGAGGCGTACGTTTTTAAATATTAGCGTTCCACTTAGGAAATTGGTGGTGGATATCAGCCAGTAATGGGATTCAGCCGGTTCTCACTGGTTCATGCGAACCGGTTACTAAAATCTAACGAGTACGCCGCACAACTGATTAACCTGGCTGACTGAGGTGCCTGCTGACACCAGGAGGGGTGCAGGGCCCTTCCATGTAGTCTGCCACTGCCTCCAGCCTGCAGCTCCACCAGGCGCAGAGCTGCAGACCATGGATCTTGCGATCTCCAGCAAAACACAGCATTGCTGCTGGTTACCACAGCAATGCTGTGGCACATCAAGTGCTGGAGATCGCAAGATCTCTGCTCCATGGTCTGCAGCTCTGGTGGACTGTCTACCTACCCCACTGGACCACCAGGGAATGGATTACACATTAAAACAAAAGGTATTTAAGTAAGTATAAGCACATAGCACTTTTTTTTGTATACTGAGGCACCCAAGACTTGTAAGGAAGTATCCGTTTCTGACACTGGGGTTAAACTGACACTCCACTGCCCCAAAAAATAATTATTGTTTTAGTAGATATTCCCACACTAGAAACATGCATAAATTTTTCCTGTTTTTAAAAACCGCATGCAATATCTGCAGTTAGCTTGTCTGTAGCCTTTGCAAGCTCTCCCCTTCTAACTCTGCCCAGACTTTCTGTGGCTGTCCAATCACAGACTTTCCAATGCAGCTCAATGAGAAGTCTTTGCAAGTCATGTGCTCTGAGCAGTTGAGTTTTGAGTTTAGCTGGACTAAGCTAACCAAACCAGGAAGTGCAACAAAGTTGTAATAATCCTGCATCTTTCATTATTTTCCATGGCGATTCTTATCTTTGTAGAATTATACAGTAAATTTCTATTTATAATTCTTTGGGTTTTTTTTGTTTTTTTGGGTTTTTTTTAAATCTCCGATCGCCCAACAATGTTTGTACAAGGTACTCGTATCCTTGTCATTCCTTACTGGGTTAGTCTTTGTGTTTTATAGTACATTCACAGGTTTATTCCAGTTTAGCTATATTGGCCTAACATTTGAAACACTGTGTAATGGCGATGAACCATCCTTTAGTGGAGACTGTTTGTAGTATAAGGGTTGGAGCTGTGCACAGTGTTATTGTGTATGTCCAGTCTGCGGAATGAGACTATAACTAACTGAAAGGTGTTAAACGCCCCTTACTCGGCCCCTGCCAGGGCTGTGACCACTCGCCGTTCATCTCCCTACTGGAGCGAGTCTTCAGACAGGAGGATGTGAGAAGTGACTGGTAATTTTGAAGTTCCCATCAGGATTAGAAGAAGCACATTCTTTATCCAACACATCATTGTCTCTGGCTGAGAATTGTCTCACTGCGGTGAGCAGCCACTTAACTCCTTCACTGCCCTGTGGCTAATAAATTGGGCTCTGGAAGTTGAAGTGTAGAGTGGCAGAAATTCCTGTTTTTTTTAAAGTTTATTAATCTTAGAAATTCTGCATGATAAAATAGTATCCCCTCAATCTTCTAATATTGTTGGTTTAAGCAGCATGTGAAAGTCTGTACCAAGGGTTAACTTTCCTTTTTTTTTCAGCTAAGAAGGAACAAGCATTAAGCCCCTTCCTAGAGAACAGAGATGATAAAAGATCCTTCTGAATCGTGGTTTGTAAGCAGGACCATATTTGGCTGTGTTTATTCAAAGTCTTTGTTACAGGAGGCTGTTACTTTTATCCTCAAATAGGAGTTTCTAACCAAGACACAAAGCATCCAGCAAGCCTGGCTATAAATACTTCTGGAGGTTCTTACGTTATCTTCAGGAAGACAAGAAATACTAACTCGATTCACAGGAGTATACTATATATCGTCACGTTTATTAGAATCACATCTAATTATCTTTCTTAAATTATAATTTTTAACCGGATAGGACAGTCTGCATAATTACTCCTTTTAGTTTAAAATCCTCACTATAACTCCCCCTATTACGCCATATAACCTCTCCATATAACTCCTCCTATTACTCCATATGACCTCTCCCTATAACTCCTCCTATTACT